AAATAAAAAGAAAAACAGAGCAAGACCGTTGACTAAAAATTTCAAGCTAAGATATGGCGGCTCTGATCTAAACTCAGCCATCTACTCTACGCGTTCGCTCCACTGGCTCTCGTTTTAGTCCCACCAACTTGCGATCCGTCTCTTTCAATGGAAATAACAAAGAAGCAATCAAGCATAAGACTCTCTCTCACTCGAAGACCAAATCAAACCAAACCATAACAGACGCCATTTCGTTTACTTCTCATTATATATAGGAAACAAGATAATCTTTTTTCTCTGCAAAAAGAAGAGTGAGGAGGAAGAAAAAATGGCTGATGCTACTACTACTACTCAAGGAAACGGCGCTGCTCAGTTGGTCTCTGACTTTCCGGCGGTTCCGACGCACGGCGGTCAGTTCATTCAGTACAATATCTTTGGAAATCACTTTGAGATAACCGCCAAGTATCGGCCTCCGATCATGCCGATCGGCCGCGGAGCTTACGGAATCGTCTGGTATGATATGAATGTTTCGATTTTTGGCTTTGGATTTGATTGATTGGATTGCTGGATGGCTTGTTTGATGTCTCTTTTGCTCTTTGGTTTTCAAGTTCTGTGATGAATTCGGAGACTAACGAGATGGTGGCGATTAAGAAAATCGCAAACGCCTTCGACAATCACATGGATGCCAAACGGACGCTTCGCGAGATTAAGCTGCTGCGACATCTCGATCATGAAAACGTGAGTTTTTTTTTTTTTTTGGTTTTAATTATTGTTTTATTTTCATTTTCACTGTGTAATTTCATCGGAGGATTCTAAATCGATGAGGTTTATATATAGGTTATAGGGATTAGAGAAGTGATTCCACCGCCGGTGAGGAGAGAATTCACTGATGTCTACATCGCCACCGAACTCATGGATACTGATTTGCATCAAATAATTCGGTCTAATCAAGGTTTATCAGAGGAGCATTGTCAGGTATTGTTCTCTCTCTCTTTTTCAGATTCTTCATATCAAGTTAGTGGTTGAAAATTTGGAATTGGTGTTAATTTCTTCCTTGATTTTGTGTTTTTGCAGTATTTCTTATACCAGATTCTTCGAGGTCTAAAGTATAT